TGAACGTGGCCACACTCTACTAAGAAAGAGAGTTGATGAGTCCGTTGAAAAGATAATTCACTTCACAAATGCCATAAAACCACGTCGCGTCGAGGTCAATGCAAAGGAAGTCGCACTACGTGTTGCAGAAGATGGGTGTGTTCTTCTTAAAAACAGCGGCGAAACATTACCACTCAAAAATATTAAAACAGTTGGACTGTTTGGTACAGGCGCATATGGTCCATTTGTAAGAGGTATAGGAAGCGGTCAGACTCATCCAAGTCATGTAGTGAGTCTAAAAGAATCATTTGAGAAGCGTGGAATTCATTTGGAGGACAACATGAACGGGGGCTACTCCAAGTACCTCATTGAACAGAACAACAGGACGTATGAGACTTACATGAAAACGTTTAACTTTTTCTTGGACTACGACGAACCTGTCTTGAAAGACGAGTCCGTCGCGGTTTGTGCGAGCACCAGTGATGTTGGTCTATTTGTGCTCAGTCGAATTTCAGGCGAATTCCGCGACCGAAAAGATGTGTCGTTCCGCCTCAGCGATCACGAGAGAGATGCCATTAAAAAGATGAGTCATCACTATCACGCGAAGAATAAGAAAGTGGTAATGATTTTAAACATCTGTGGCCCCATTGAGATTGAATCATGGATAGATTTAGTTGATTCAATTATAGTAGTTTGGCTGAATGGTGAGGAGCATGGAAATGCAATAACTCATGTTCTTTTCGGCGATGTCAATCCATCAGGGAGATTGCCTCTCTCATTTCCCGAAAATTTGGCCAATATTCCGTCACATTCATTCCCTGGCAATCCAAGAGACAATCCAAATGAAGTGATTTATGATGAAGATATATATGTGGGATACAGATATTACACGTCGTTTGAAAAAAGGTGCAGTTTCCCGTTTGGCTTTGGATTGAGTTACACGGAATTTGAATATTCAGTTCCAATTGTAATTCTCGACAAAAAGAACATCACATTCTCCGTCAACGTTAAGAACAATGGGAAGTGTAATGGCAAAGACGTCGTGCTGTTCTTTGTAGCACCTCCCAAAAACACAGAATTCAAAATGCCTGTCAGGGAACTTCGTGGGTTCGCGAAGACGGATCTTATTAAAATTGATAGCTCTTTTACTATTAATATAACTAGAAGTTACAGAGACCTGTCTTCCTTCGACGAAAAGAGTCACAGCTGGATACTACATAAGGGAACATACAAACTGGAATTATGCAAAGATGCGAATACAATCATAAGAACAACCGAATTTATCATCGACAAGGAAATCATTACTCAGAGTTCCAGAAGTTACTGCACCCCTCAACATCCTTTCAACGTTCTTTCGAAGTAAGACTTATTGACATTTAAACCATATTTATAATTATATTACTATAATTATAGTTCTTTTTCTATAAGTAATTGATTATAAGAAATATCAACAATAAACTATAATTATAGAATACTTGTTGCAAAAATAATAATATAATGGCATTGAAATAATGAGGAGATTTTCTACTGAAAAACCATTTCTTATTAATTTTTCAATTGATATGGTTTAGTTAATTTCCAATCAGATTTCAAAATTGTAATCTTGCAAAACATAGAAATAAAAACAAATAATCGAAAGTTTTTGAAAAGAAAAAGAACTGAAAATCAAAATGAACGAGCCCGAAATTGCTGTCGAAGTTGAGACTATGCACCGTACTTCTCCAAAACAAAGCAAAAAGAACTTCGGCAGCCTCACTCGTGGTGGCGCACAAACACAAACAGGCAGCCAAAAAGGTCTCAGAGGAATACCACAAAACAGACAATTCTTCGACTCCGCAGAGTACTCGATGCACAAAGAAGAGCAAAAAAAGAAAGAGGAAGAGACCAAAGGGGAGGTGAAGGACCAAATTGAAATTAAGTGAATTTGTTCTTTTGTGTTACTATTTTTATTTTATATTTCAACTATATATTGTGGTTTATTTTATATGGTACTACCAATTAAAGTATAATAAACTATAGTTATTTCTTTTCACAATTCACATGGAAAGAAAGACACAATTCCCAAAATCAAAAGTCTTCTGGCGCTTAACTACAAACACATCGCACCACCCAAAGCCAAAACCTTCTGGTATACTCACAACCATTACCCCTCGGCCTTTTCTATCTGGTTTGACAGTTTCATGGTTGATGTAAACTTTACTACTTTCTCCTAAAGCCTCTGAAGATCCTCTGAGTGTAAGTTGTCCACCACAACGACAAAAACGAGGAGAGACTTCAAACCAAAACTTCTCTTTGTTTTGTGTCGTTTCTTCTTCTTCTCTTGCAAGTCGTTCATTCATCTCTTCATCAGAGACGTCAACAATATCGTCGCTGTCGGAACAGATTTCGTCGGTCTGACCATATAAATTGATAAGGTTGGCGCACGACGTTTCATTAAACACGTCTATTACCTCTATTTTTCCGCGCCTTAAATCACATTTCGTTCCGTCAATACAGAGCATGTCATTTTCGGGTTTTATTGCCTTGAATTTTTCTATAAAAGATTGTAAGATAGAAACACTGCTTGTCATTTCTTCAATCTCTAAGAAAAAAGCATTCGTCAATCGTTCCACCGATTTAATCATCTCTTCTTCATCTCGTGTTTTTTCTTTTTGAGAAAAATTGAGAAATTTTTTTTTGTCGAAAAAACTTTTGAGCTCAAAAAATTTTGAGATCCGGTCTTTCGTTTTACATATAAAATAGGGATTGATGACATCGTTGTTACTTTCGAGCATTATATACTCGTTTGAAATCTCTAGGAGAGACGTGTGAATACATTGGATTTGTTGTTTACTCTTGTATACCTCGTTAAACGTCTTTTGGATCTGAGAAATCGGTTTCACTTCTTTCATTTTTTTTCGCCACATCACTTTGTCCAACACCGTTCCACACATTTTACAAACGGCAACTTCTCTCTCACTCGAGATTTTTATGGTGGAACAACAACTCTTGCAAAGCAACTTTCCGCAAAATTGACAACTCCTCTTTCCGTCCAAAAAAACACTAAATGATGAGTACCTCTCGCAGCAAACTTGACTTTTATTCTCGTTTTTTTCTGTTTTAATTCCTTTTCCAGTAAGGACATCATCCACCATTCTGTCAATTTCAATCTCCTTTGCTTGTAATTCGTTATTTCTCATTTTGTTAAAAATTGGCGTGAGTTGTTCTCTTCTCTTAAACATTTTTTTCTTTTTTAATTTTTTAAATATCTAATAATCATTCAAAAACATCATTCTTTTTGGTATAACTATTTGTAAAATTTATAGTTAAATTTATCATATAAATAATACTCATATTTTTTTGTGTGTATGAATTTATTGTATTATACTTATAAATTTATTAAATTATTACTATAAAATTCCTTTTTTTGAAAAAAACAATCTTGGGACAAGTATAATATACAATAGTTTTATAAACCATGAAAGTGGTCAAGTAGAAAGCAACATCAATACAACACAATTAGTTCAAAAAATAGTTCATCTGATACAAGACGTTATTTTTAGAGAAGTTGATAGAGATGTCGAGATTTCTCTGATTAGTTGCGTTTTGTTTGCAGACGTATATTCCGCCGATTCGATCTCCCATCTCCATTTTGAGAGGGTATTTTAAAAAGAAGAGTGTTTGTTTCCAGTGAGTTGATTGTCCCGGTTGAGTTGTCAAGATTGAGTGATGATCAAAAAAGCAGTCAAAGTAACAACAAAATCCACTCATTTCCGTCTTCCTTGTCACTGTAATTTCAAACGGTGCCGAGAAATTGACTTCGTCTCCAACCATAGTTTCCAAGTTAAGATCCGCCACGACCGTTCGCGTCGTGACCACTCGATTTTCCTTAATGTCCTTAATGACTGCTTCCATCAGTGGGAGATTTTCTGTCAAATCCATATCTCCATATAATTCGCAAAATGTTTTTCTTTTTGTTATATATTCCTCATTGCCTTCGATTCCGCAGATGAAGAGGTGGCACTTGTTAGGTAACATGACGGGCTCTTTTCTCTCTTCTTTAAGAAATCTCCTTGCTGTTAAAACACTCGAAAGCATTCCTTCAAACAATAAATTGTATCCCATCCACTCACTAACTATTATATCTACCTTCTCAGGAACTTCTATATCTTCTACACGACCTTGTATCACTTGAATCACTTTCTCATAGTTATTATGCCGAACTATATACGCTGCAAACCCAGCTATATCACTCATCTCTATCGCATACACTTTCTTCGCTCCCGCTTGCGCAGCAAACAACGACAAGATCCCAGTCCCACATCCTACATCTAAGACTACTTTGTCTTTACAGTAATACTCTATCGCTTCTTTATACGTCTTCGTTCGATGCTCGTCGTTTATCATCTCTTCATGAATGTTCGTGTGCGAGTAACTAATCCAATAATATTGCGAATCTCCCATCGCACTCTCCTCCACAGCCATTTCTCTTTTTTTTATTTCCAGTTAGAAAAGTTGATTATAGTATTATTATAATAGTATAATAGTATAATTATATTATTATTATTATTATTATTATTATTATTATTATAATATAATAATATTATTATTATTATAATATTATTATTATAATATTATTATTATAATATTATTATTAGTTTTACTATATTTTTTTCATCAAATTGATCAATTCAAACCAAATCAAAGATCAAAGCAAACCTTTTCACAAACTCACTCAGTTACAAGCCTTGCCTTCTCATATGTAGTCACGAGCGTTTTAATTCGACGCAACAAGAACTCTCTTTGTTTTTCTGGCTCGCGCATCCCAGAAAGGTTGAGAACTCCGCCAATGATATAGTCTGTCATATATAAGTCTGGCACATTCATTCCCTTCTCACCAATTAATATCAGTAACGTCACATCACACGATGAGTCCCACATTAAACACACGTCTTCTGTTGGATAAGGCAAGACCATTGTTCTGTTCTTAACTATTTGGACTGCTTTGTGGATGACGTCATAACTCCTCACATTCTCCTTCACGTCTGCGGGAAAGGAACTCGACATCATTAAGTCGACCACCAGTTGTTGCATCTTCTGCTTTGTCAATGGGACAAATTGCGCAAAGTCGATGTCCCAGTTATTGACGTCCCTTCCAAATCTCTTCAACGCACTTTCAATAGTGATCAGCCATTGATTTGTCATCTCAACACTCATCATCGGCGCGTGTTTCTTGATGATCGTATGCAGCGCATTTTCCGTGATATTCTCTTCCGACGTCTCAGACATGTCTTCCTCCGCCTCTTTAGTCTCCGGAATTGGAATATTCGGAAGTTCGTTTTTGAGGCGTTGATTCTTCTCAAACGTCGATTCTTTCAATTCAATAAGTTCCTTTTGTTTCACTTCATTGGTGACATTCAACTCAGGCAATGTGGTACTCAGCCGTTCTTTATTATACATATGTGGGGGTCCTTTTCTAATGTGTTGAACAGGCTTTAAATTCGCTTCTTTAGTAATTCCATTTGTATTTGCAAGTGTCGTCTCAATCCCTTTCGTGGAGTCATTCACATGAGTTTCTTCTATCAGGGGTAACTCATTCAATTTGTCCTTTTCCTCCTTTTCGTGAACTTCTTTCATCGGGTTGTCCTCATTCACAATTTCCATTGGCGTATTTGCAACATGATCGTCCACATTTAAATCAAGACTTATCGTTGGACTCTGATGAGTACTATTAATAGTATTATTAATAGTATTAGTATTATCTATTGGTTCTATTTCCATCTTCTTTTCCTTTCCACCTTCTGCCATTTGCGTTATGTTAACATCCTTTTCTTTCTCTTGAAGTGTTTCACTTCCTTTATCACTCCCACGTTCCGGCTGTTTGTTCATCACAGGAACTTCACTGACTTGTTTTGGTGATATTTCATTCTCTTTAATTTCATTTTTCTTACTCAGACGGGTGTCTTCTTCTTCTTTCCGGTGCATCTTTTCTTCACTCATTTGATTTGTCATATCCTTCTGATTCTCCTTCTCACTCTCTTCAGTCTTCCCTTTCTTTGCTTTGAATGAAACTTGCTTGCTCCTTTCTTTGTTCTCCTTCCGCTCATTCTTCTCTTCCACCTTCTCACTCTTCTCCTTCTCTTCTCTCGCCCCAATTGGCTTTGCAAAATCCTCATAATTCCCTTCTAAAATAGTTGGCGTTATTATGAACTTCTTCTCAAAGTCAAACACAATCGCCATCGACTTCCCATCAATTTCAAGCACCAACTGTCGGGTCATCTCATCTTTAAATGGGAGGTATTCATTCACTAAGATCGCATCATCTATCGGCGCAAGTTCTCCTCGATACCCATAATCAAATTTGTCCATTTTCAACATCTTCCCGTACACCATCAGTTCTTGTTGTGGCGTCAGTTCCTCGTCCATCTCGTTCATCATCGTCGTGATCTCGTCGATACTTTCTTTCACCGACAACTCAAAAACTATCAAATTCTTCTTACAGAGCATTTTATACTTCTCTTTGATGTCATCTTCAAACAAAGGCGAATAGCTATTCCCTATATCAATCACTATATCTATCGAACTCAAATTCAATTCGTCTGAGTTACTTAACGTGTTCACACAGACAAGCCACGAATTCCGTTTAATCTCACCTTCCGCAAATTCACTCGCATTCCTCCGATAGACAGAAGTCAACCCACTCGTCTCGGTACATTCTAATAACTTCGACACAACCCGGTTCTTCCGCGGTTTCGTGTCTTTCGAAATGACATTCCCATCGTACTTCTTTGCTATATCAACAAGTGTCCGGTGGTGCATCCCTAAGACAGCAACTTTCATTTTCGACAATTTGTGGATCGATTTGAGAAGTCGAAGAACAAAATCAAGTTTACAACTCGGGACGCTGTCGTATTGACAGAGAATGGGGTCCGTTAAGAACTTCTTCATCTTCTCAAAGGTGTTTTCAGTTATCTTATTGCGGATGGCGGAACTGGTCATTTTGTTGTAGATCTTCCGTTGTTCACCCTTCATCCAGATATATGTGTCGATGTATTTTATATAGTACTCTGTGGCATCATCTTCTGGTTCCATCTGTAATCATTTCTAGTTTCCTTTAAATATATCTTTTTTGGGTCTTGTTCGTTCCGCCTCCAGATATAAAAGGTGTTGATTTTTTTCATTAAAGGTTTTAATGGATTTATTTTATTATATGGTATAGTTTCTCATTTGTGTCATTTTATTTGCATTTTGAATAATAAACTTAAGTAATTGAGTTAACAAAATAACTAAAATATAGTAAAATTATTTTAGATAATTAAGGTGGGATTGAAAGGAAAAAATTGCTTATAAAAAAAGTGACATTTTTTTTTATTATTAATTTTGAACTAAAAAATAAAAAAAATGGTTTGTCTTTTTCTTTACACACAAAACGTATGATGGTCTAACTCGAAAGGACAAGTGGGTAATTCGAAAGGGTGGCCCGGCAAAAGATGGAGCAAAAACTTTATCTGAAGACACAAAAGCAAAAACAAAGAAAGACGAAACGAAAGACCAAAAAAACAAAAAAAATGTAAAAGATGAAAAACAAGTAAAACCTTCTTCTGAAAAGGAATTCAAAACACCATCTCGTAAAACCTCAAAAAAGAAAGTCAAAAAAGTTTCCAAAGTGAAAAATGAGAAGGAGATTGAAAATGACAAAACGAACGAACATTTAAGCGATGAAAATTCTGAAGAAACGTCGAGCGATGGCGACTCGATCAAGTCAACTAAACCGAAAAAGTCTTCAAAAACAAAGTCGACTTTGGTCATTGTCAAAACAACAACACCAATTCAACAAGTCAAAAAGGTAAAGCCTAAGGCAGTCAAGACGACACACTTTACACCATTTTCACACGACACAACTGCTAAGAACAAAGGATCCAAATTTGTTCCTAAAGGAAAAGGAACATTTTTCGGAGAGGATGAATTCGAGCGCAAAAATTTTGTGTTGACAGGAGTCTATGAAGAACTGGACAGAGACGAGATGAAGAATTTTATTCAAGACTTCGGAGGAAATGTCGCCACTTCAATCAGTGGGAAGACTCATGTCATAGTGGCAGGTGACGACGCTGGACCGTCCAAACTTGCAAAAGCACAAGAGAAAGGGTTGCTTGTGTGGAGTGAAGACGATGTTTTAAACTACGCGATTAAGAAGTTGGGGATTACTGACACTACAATTAAAAGTACGTCGGGAACCACTGAAAATGGTGGAAAGGATAAAGGCGAAGTAAAGATATTATCTGTGAACAATGACAACGACATTTGGACGGAGAAGTACCGACCACAGACAATCGAAGACCTCGTCGGCAATAAAACCCAAGTTATGAAGTTCAAGAAGTGGTTAGAATCGTGGAAGAACGTAATACCAGACAGACAAGCGGTTTTGTTGGCAGGATCTCCGGGTGTTGGGAAGACGACAACCGCAAAAATACTTGCCCGGGTGATGGGGTACAATGCTGTTGAGTTCAATGCGTCAGATGTAAGAAACAAGAAAAGTGTCAGTGCTGAGTTGAAGAAAGTGTTGCTTAACGGACAGATCAGTCGTGGAGAAACATACAAACCCGCTCTTGTGATTATGGACGAAGTCGACGGAATGTCGTCTGGTGATCGAGGTGGAATTGCTGAACTTGTCCAATTCATCAAGAAGACTACATCACCAATTGTTTGTATATGCAATGATGTGATGGACAAAAAGATGCAATCATTGGTCAATGTCTGTGAGACAATTAATTTTGTGAAGATCACACCCAACGACTTGGAAACGCGTTTGAGTGTGATTTTAAAGAACGAAAATATCGAAGTCGCGAGCGAAAAGATCGAGGAAATTGCAAAGAAGTCGCACGGCGATGTGAGGTACGCGATCAACGTGTTGCAAACTTTCTGCAAATGTGGAATGAGTATCGGTGAAAAGAACGAGGATGTCGACTACATCGAGATTATCCCGACGCTTATTACACAATATTGGAAGACAAGTTTCAACGAAAAGATCAACCTATTCTTTATGGACACTTTCATGGTGCCGTTTTATTTACACGACTCTTTGTGGAGGGGGCAGCAGTTGAGTCACTTAGGAAAGGCGTTGCAATCATTCTGCCTTGGTGATATATTCCAAAACTGTGTGATGAAAACTCAGAACTGGAAGCTGATGCCAACTAGTGGGCTCTTTAAACTTGGGATAACTACATTCTACGGGCAGACGAAGAATGGCGCAATGAAGGTCATGTTCCCGAAAACACTCGGGAAGGTTAGCAAGAGAAAAGGAAACCAGACTCGGGTTAACTTGGTAACTTCGAAGCTGCCAGGACGGTTTTTGACGAACAGATCCTTTGCAGCCAGACCAATGATGTACATTAGAAACACGATAATGAGAGTGATGGAGACGGATCCCAAAAAGGCTGCATTGATTGCACAGCACTTTGGCATTGAAAAGCTTGTTTGGGACGAGTTAGTAAAAATTGGCACGTCACTCGAAAAGACTGAATTATTTAAAGAAGTCTCGACAGGCAAAAAGGCTCAATTTACGCGAGAACTAAAAGTGCTGACGACAGGTATTGTCTCAAAGGGAAAGAAAGGGAAAAACACCAAAAATGAAGACGACGACTTAGGAAATCCCGACATTGATCTTGGGGAGATGAGTGAAGATGATTATGATTATCAAGACGACGCACCAGAATATATACCAGACGATGAAATTTTTTGATTCAATTTAAATCTTGATTATCATTTCGCACACAAAACAAGAACGCCACTAGAATTACATCATTTCAATACAAACAATTTCCTGAAACGTCCCACCCTGAGAAAAGTACTTCTTGAAGTTAAGAGACTTATCGTCTAAGCATGTGTATTTACTCAAGTCGTGAAAGAAATACGTGTAGTCTGTTTTAAACACGGCACAATGTTTACACGTTAAAACTCGGTCAACGTACTCATCGCTTGCTCCTACTGCGAACGTGATGTCGCTCCAATTAATTCTTTTCAGTCTGAATGGTTGTACCCCCGTTGAGTGTTTGAGCATTCCCAAGAAGTGGTTTTTAGCGTCCAGAAACGCCGGACCTGCCGATGGCTGTTTTGGGATCGGGTCTCCAAAGTACAAGACGATGACATTCTCCTTATCGTACTGCACCAAGAAACATGTGTTTTTGTGCCCTTCGCATTTCTTCATCAAATCTCTTTTCGACATTCCGTCTCGAGATGACCAATACAGTATTTCGTATTTTGTTTTATCTGTCCATCGTTTGAGTAGTTCAATTTCGTTCGTGCTAATCGCAATCATCTCTGGGACTGTTTTAGCAACAAGCCGCGCAAAACTTTGTTTCGAGAAGAGTTTGAGGGTATCAACAAAGTCGCGCATTTTATCCACCTCAAATGGTGTAACCAAACCTGGCATGTCAAAAAGACTTGTTTTGACCGTTTCAATTTCCATTTTATTGATTTTCTCTTTCTTCTCGCAATTATCGATCGCTTCAACTTTTAAAAAACAGTCTTGGTTCTCTGTAGACTTGTTTAGACTGTTTTCATCGTTTTGTGATGTTGTAAAACACTGAGAACACGAGATGTTAATCACCCCATTATTTGTGATATGGACGTTCATCAAATAGACTTTTCAGTGGTTTTTGGTTTAATCCTGTTTAGTTCTTTGATAGTATTTTTACTAGATAAATTGATACTCCAAAGAAAATCACAAAGAGACAATATTTTGAAAAAGAAAAAAAATTGACAAAAATCAAAAATAATAAAAAATTCGGTCATTTTCCAAAATTAGAAAAAATTTCTCTTGAAACTTACAAGAACAATTGGGGGTGTTATTAACTGTACTAGAAAATAACATACAGCAAACTATAAAAGTATAAAAAAGTGAAATACAAAAAATTATTCGATCAAATCGTCAGAATTACCGTTCACATCGACAGAGTCTGAACTTGTGTCTTCTCCAGTGATTTCATGTCCGTCGTTGACGTTAATTCTGGATGTTGACAATGTGACTTTCACTTTTTTAATCAAATTTTCGTTCAAACTGTCGGGTCTGGCAGATGATGATGCCTTGTCACTGACATCACTCAACACTAAGTCTTGCTCCTTAAAACTTGGTGTTGCGTCTTCACGTCTCACCTCCTTGGTTTCCTTCCTCTTCTTATTCTCGTTCCTCTCGACGATTTTGTAAATCTCTTTAATAACGTAGTCCGCGTCTTCCTCATTAAAATTGATTAAGCAACTCATGTTCCCCTTCCCAACCGAGATTTTGGAATTCCCCCGTTTCCGCATTTCGCGTTTGGCCTCAGAGGTGATTTCCAAAACGTCACTCTCCTTCTCAATTTTCAAAGCTTTTGTGTCCGTTCGTTCCGCCTCTTTCATTTTCTCAACAAAGAAATCCTCGGAGATTGTGTTATCAAATTGTACACGTGTTGAGGTTGCAATCTTTGAAAGCGTATTCTCAATTTCCTCCAAATTGACTTTCTCTCCATCAATATAGAGATCTTGCCCAAACTCAATCGACGGTAAATTACGAAGAAGAAAGTCCTTATAGTTTGGCGAGTTGTTGTTTTTGAAGTTGACACGTGTCAGTGTAAACATTTTATTGAAAACGCCGTTCACCGTTTCGTCAATTACAATCTGATTATTTGAGAGGTCGATCTCTCGGAGATTGTAAAATAAACAGACGTCACGAAGGGTTGTCAAATTGTTGTGTGAAAGATTTAAAAGTGAGATTGAGGGAGGAACAACAACACGTATTTTTTTAACTTTGTTTTTAGAAACGTTTAGTTGACTTTTTGTGAGACTTTTTGAATGTGATTTCATGAAAAAACAAACTCAAGAGGTCGTTCTTCGATGTTTTCAAGTACTTCTATTTTGTTGTCTTGCAGATCCAAAATTTTCAGATGAGGGAAATTTTCTTTTGTCTTTTTATAAATGATGTTTGGATTTTTGTTATTCAAAATGCTATTTCATTTTATTGAGATTGAAAAAGACGGAACGACATAATATTTAAGCAACAAAAATAAATAGAAACAAACGAAGATAAACGGAGGTATCGACGGAACTCCGCATTTTCTGATAATGAGCTTCGTAAGGTTTGGCCACCTCAACGAAATCGCATCGAAATTGAATTTTGAAGATTCGACTTTAAGTGTTTGAAGCTTTTGTGAGACCACCTCGTAACTCAACGGAGTTTCTCTATTTGTGATATAAAGAGTCGTTAAAGGACAGTTCGCACAGAATGAAAGACTTTTAATATCCTCCTCGTGTTGTTTACCCTTTGACCCAATTTCAATTCTTTTTAAATATTTGAACACATCATCTTTTGTGACCTTTTCTACGTCTGAATCGCCGTATTTGTCATACCCAATTCCACTTAAAAACATTGCCATTGGAAAACCTATTTTTAAAACTCCTTTGAGGTACGACATATCACCAAGTTCCTCCTCAAAGTACCTCACAACGCCGTCTTGAAAACAATCGATCCGACGTTTCTGTTCCATTCTTTTTATCTTTTTTCGTTCCCAATTGGATCTTTAAAATTATTTTCATTTTAAGTTTTATTCTATTCTAATAATAAATAATTTTTGTTTTTTCAAATACTATTTCTATTAAATTGATTATGATATAATATAAATATAATATATATATTATTAGTTTTATTAAAACGTCAAAAACTTAAACACTTCTTTTTATTGTTTTTCAAAACTATTTATATAGCTTTTCAATGTGTTATGATTTTTGAGATTTTTCAAACTGTAATTAAATGAACTACTATACTTTTTAACAACTTTATAATTTAATTGAAATTTTTATCCAACAGCAATGTTTTCATTCTACAAATAACATCATTTTGCCATCCCCAACATTTTTGCGCCATCTCACAAAAGTGCTCTGTCTCTTCTTTAGTCCAATTTTTACTCACTCTATCTGTCATTTTTCACAATCTCGCAGCTTATGACGGAACAACCGAACATTTAAGGAGGAAAGATTGAGGAAAGAAATACAACAAACACAAGGAAAATGGACTGGATGTCTTCGGACAGTTCACCCCAATCCGATAAACCACAGTCAACTTCGTAATCCTTGTAAAATGATAAGAAGGCGAATACCTCGTCTGGTGTGAACGGCGCGGTTAATATACTGAGGAAGACTCGAAGGCGTTTGTCAGAAGAATTAAACCCCCAACAAGTGAACGCAACAAACACACCCTTGACCAACTCGCTCCATTCAACCTTAAACTCCTTTGCTATCCTCAGTATTAAGTCTGCGGCATGGATAATACCTTCATCGTCTGTCCCTAACAACAGGTGTATTTGGTCGTCAAAAATCTCTTTACCACCAATAAAACTTGCGAAGTCGTCTAAATCCTCATCGCACATTTGTTGATATCCAAACTTTATAAAGTCGGCATCATCCCATTGCTTCGTCGCTTCTTCCATGATGGTGTAAAAATAGTACTCGCTATTATTTTTACCCAATAATTTCAGTAGTTTTTCAAGTTGGTATTTATCCATCTTCTTGCAGGTGGAGAGAAAGTCATTCATCTTCTTTTTAACCTCCTCAACTTTGGAAACTTCCTCCTCCTTTTGTTTGATTGCCTCGATCTTTATTTTTTCCTCCTCTTCAATTTTGATACGTTCCTTTTCCTTCACTTCTAACCCGTTTTTGAATGCTTGAAATCCCATTTCCAAAAATGGAACTGTCTCGTCAGCTAATACCCAGAATTCATCAGGGTCACTTTTGAATTTAACAACGTTTTTCTTCTCTTTAGCGTCATACTCGACGTTCATCGTTGTCGTTCCTTTAAGTTCGATGACATCTTTTGGTTTTTCGTTCTGGGAGTTCTTGTCGAAAAAGATGATATACGAGTTCTTCCACACTAAATACCGTTTTTTCCATCTCTTCTTGAACATGACGGTGACACTTCCGTCCATTAAAAAAGGTCTTTTAATTTGGCTCAGCGGCTTTGTCTTCAAAGTCTCCAAATCACCACCTTCCATCTCGGGTCAGATCTCAAAAATTTCAAGTTCAAAAAATGTTTTTTTCTAGTTCAAACGAGTGTTTTTTCCCGATTTTTTGGTTATTTCAATGCCTTTATTTAATTAATAGCAACTTTTATTTATTTCAAATAAAATAATTATTCGAAATAATAAAATACTTCTTTTTATTTTTCTTGTTTTAATTAAACCATATTTATAATTTATTTTGTTATACATTATAATTTTCATTAATTCTAGAAATGATAGTAATTATTACTAAACAAATTCAAATCTTATTTATAGACTATAAATTATAGTTATCAATATCAACGAAACTATACTAAAACTATAAAAATACCAACGACGAACTCTATTTAAGACATCAAGTGTTGTTGATTTCCTTAAACAAATTGAGAGCTGAGTTCAAAGTATTAACAAGTTGTGGGCTTTGATCTTTCAGCAAGTCACCAGCTTTTTCAAAGTCCCAAGCTTTCATCTTTGCTTCCCATTCCCGTAACTCCTTTTTGACATTTTCGAATTGAAGGTTCTTCGACTCGAAAGCGGAGAGTCCGATGTTGATTGCGTTGAGTAGTCTGAGGCATTCTTGGACGTCATAATTTTCTAAGTATATTGTGTCGTTGAGCCCCAATATATTAATAACAATTTCAATGATTAAACGCCCGTTTGCTATTACTCGGTGCTCCTTAATCATTGGTTTGCCTTTTGTGAGTCGATTCAATGACATCCCACGTGGGATGTCATAGTCTTCATAAAATTGTGTGATGGAGGTGTATCCACATGTCGGGAATATCCTCTCATATCGGTCAAACTCCTCTGTGCACTGTTTCACATACGTCTCATAATCTATTAAACTCTTCACAAATAAGTTCTCTAGAAACTCAATTGACATCACAGTCGCATATAAGTCCGTTTTGTGCTCAACTCGTTTCCTCTCGTCTTCAAGCTGCATGTCTATTTTTTGTAGTTCATTTTATTATACAAATAGTAAATGAAATTTACTATTTGGAATTGAAGTGGTCTAAGTGTTTTGGTTTTGAATGTCATTTCCATTTTTTTTCAATATTGTCATATAAACTAGTTACTATATTATAACATAACTATATACATTAATATAGTATTACTATAGTATTAATTAATAATATTTATTATTATTACTTAATAATAATAAAGTTTTATTTAATCTATATATTTATTATAACAATCTTGTTTGATTCTGTACAAAATAGATAAAGATTTGTTGTTATTATAACCAAAAGAAAATCTCAATCATAAAGCATGGACTCTGCCTTATCAAGACTTTTATTTATAAATATTAGTTAATAAAAATATTAATATTTTAATATTTTTATTAATATTTTTAATATCTTGAATATGATTGAAACAAAATTCAAGTGGTTTAAAAATAAGGAAATTACACGTTTATTAAATACGTTTCCCGTTTTTTTAAAGTTTATTATTCTCATATCATTACACAGGCCAAAAGGGGAAAAACACCAAAAATGACTATATATCCCTAAAAAAACTGGTCAATTTGAAAACAAGGGCGTTATTTTAAGTGTTAATGAATTAAAACTGAAATAGATTTTAATGGTTTTGGGTGGAATTGATTCAACCATATACTAATTTATTTAAGTTAAAATTTAACTATAAAAGTCTGACATAAAAACATACGACAAAGTTTAACATAAAATAAGATGACCATATTACTTAATCCATATGATTAGAACATATTAAAGTCATATACATCCAATAAGTGTCGATATATCATTCAAATAACAACAATCAACAAATCTTAATTCTTATCTTGTTGGATATGTAATACTTCTGTTGGAACCTCGACATGAAGTGGGTTCTTTTCTTCGTCATGATTTAAGTGAGTGTCTTGTATTAATGTTTGAGCTGTCAGTGTATTATTTCCCCCAATAGAATTTTGGCACATTTGATACAAGACGTATCTTTTAATTTTCAATGGGATATTCCCCCCGACACCGGTCAATGCATTTTCAATTCCATTATACTCAAAACACTTTTGTACACAATAATACGACCCTCTCTTCCTCTTTCCTATACAAATATCTTTCTCCCCAAACACACACAGCGATCGTTGTTTCTGTTTACAGAATACAAAAGCTTTATCTGCGCATTCTTTCTTCATTTTAAACATCAAAGGGGACTCAAGTCTTCCTTTCGTATTGAAAGTGAACACAAAAGCGTTCTCATCTTTGACATAAACTCCCTGTTCATGTATCGACTCTTTAACATATCCCCCGTATTTCTCGCCATCAACACTCTCTATCACAAATAACAAATTGCTCTTCCCGACAATATCCGCCTTCAGAAAATTGTTCTTTTTGTCCGTCGATGGGTACGAATCAAAGATGACCTTCTCGACAAGTAAATTCGTCCACTTTTGGATCAAAATCGTCTCACTCTCATTCATCATTAACGGCGCCTCTTTAATCCCATCAAACCCAATTTCGATTAAATCACCTACTACATCTTTGTCATAGATCACTCCCAACTCCTCTTTCCGCTCACTATTCTTCCGAAGTTCGACGTCAAGACGAATCTCCTCCGTCGAGTTTCCGATGAATGTCGAGATCGCTTTGACGGCTATCGAGACGTTCTCGATGTTCCGTTGCAGCGATTCGACCTTCCGTGTTAACTCCGTTCGCCGATTCTCAAGCTTTTGTAATCGTTCGGAAGGAATGTCAGCTTCATTCAAATCGGTGTGTTGAAGTTTCAAGAGGTACATCTTCAAGTCGTTTTTGATGATTTCAAAGGAGACATCTATTCGGGGATTTAAGGAATCAATTGTACTAATGAATTTCTGTGTTGTCTCCTCCATTTCTCTCTTTCTATTCCATTTTATCAAGTTTCTCTCATTTCATTGTGGTTTCATTCTCCTTGTTTTTACTATTATTTATAGCATTTGTTTTCTTCGGCATGGATTTTATCGGAATTTGTTTTTTTTTGTCGAACACTGAATGCCATCGAATACTTTCGTAGGAGAGTATTTCATTTCCTATAAAAATGCTGTTCTTAGCAAGACAACTGAAACACAAAGCAGACGAAGAAATCCCAAAAAATTAAATAACACAATTTGAACTTAAAAAATGTTATTGTGACCACACAAAAAGTTCGAAGCAAACAATTAAATCTTTCAATGGAGAACGCTAAAGGGGGGATTCAGTCGATAGAAAATGCTGTTCGACAGTCGAGGAGGCGAGTGACTCGTTCAATGACACCAGCAGAGGTAGTAGAAGAGCCTCTCCCGACACAACCGAAACCAGAAGTCCTGAGTCATAAAGATAAAGAAAGGTGTCAACGGCTTATAAATGACTTAGAGAAGACAGAAGGGTGTGAAGTCTTTATGGAACCCGTTGATCCGATTCAATGGAATATCCCGCAGTATTCCGAAATCATTAAGACACCTATGGATATTGGAACAGTCAAAGTGAAGCTTCACAAAAATTTCTATCCCAGTCGCGAAGACTTTGTCGCGGACGTACGTTTGACCTTTCAAAACGCTATGACCTTTAACCCGCCCGACAACCCAATTCACAAAAACGCTAAATTCCTCTTAGCGATGTTTGAGAATCACAGTCGGCATGAATTCAGAGACAAAGTTAAGAAGACTAAACTCATGAAAGAAGACGATGAAGATGACGATGAGGAAGACGAAATCAAAATCGAAGATGAAGACGGAGATGGTGAAGACGAAATTGTAAGTAAAAAACCCCGTAAAGCTAGAAAGGATGGAAAAAGTCCTAAAGAGATCAAAGAAGTCAAAATCGAGCTCATCGAAAAGGACTTCAAAGAAAAGGCAGAGAAGAAACGGGAGACCCGCGCTCTCTCCCGCATCGATAAAAAATATTTGGCGGAAAAACTGCAAGATGTCCCTCATGACGTCCTCAATGACGTCGTCGATATCTTAAAACTCGAGAAGGAAAATATCTCAAATAATACTATCACTATTAACTTCGATAACTACAAATATAAGGATTTGAAGGCCGTTGTGGCTCTTTTTAGACAACTCGACACCCAAAAACAAGAGCTGTCTGACTCTATTAAGTCGTCCGAGGAATAACTCGTTGTGTGTTTGTCTTCTTTTGTATCTTTTTCTATTCAATGCCAAAGAGTTTGAAATCGTTCAAAGACTTTTGGGTTTCTTGTCTTTTTTAGCTACAGTCTTCTTTGAAAAATGGACAATCTCACTTTTTTGGTTATAGTTTATGTTATAGTTTATGTTATAGTTTAATTTTAATTTGATAATACTATTAGTAAAACTATACAATCTAGTAATTTCAAAGTTTTTTTATTAGAATAATACTATACGATTACAATTCTATTGCAACTATAACGGTTATTTTCTTATCAAAAAACAAAATAAAGACAAAAGAAGACATAAAAATGCTGAAGAAAACAAAAAACGAATTTTTGTTCCGATAAAAAAAAACGACGAAATAATGACCAGTGGACGAAACCCTTTTTAGGGCAATATAATCCCATATGAAGCGACATCAGAGTGTTTTCCAAGACAAACGGAAAGCGAAGAAGCAACTCACACAAGAGGAAGTTCGAGTGAAACAATGGTTCAACGAGAGAGCACGACAGAAAAAGGATATCTTCAACATCAACAACGACGACGAACAAGAAGAAACATTTACCCATGGAGGTGAAAGTCTCTCCACCACCAAATATGGGTACATCGATGTTCCCGAGAACGTCGACCAAGACGTCGAGGCTGAACAGGTTGATCTTCAAACTTCCAATCGCCCCGACACACGGGGACGGTATGAAATCATGATAGAGAATTCGAAGATGCGAAAAGAGGAGAAACGTGTCCAACGCGATCAACAGGAAACTCGTCTCGATTACTTGGATAAGAACTTGGACGAGGTCTATTCAATTGCAAACCCACGACAGAGAGGCGACGACAACGAAGGTGATGACTATGCAATCCTCTTGCAAAAAATGATCAGCGACAAAACAAGATCTACCGCCGATCAGGTAGAACAAGACACCGAAGAGGCGCGGATAAAGAAGATCCAGCTCGAGGTCTCCAACATTAAAGAGCGTAACGCAAAGATATTCGAGGGCGCTTTTCTGTCCCGTCATAAGGTGTCGGGGAACACCACGGAGGAATTTGCGGACGTCGACGATATGTTAGGGAAAATCGAGGATGAAGATATCGTTGATGTTATCTATAAAATCGGAGATGGGTATAACTGGGGAGCCAAAGTTGATGATCAGGAAACACTTGCGAAACAAGCTGGAATTGTTTTAGATGGAGTTGAGGAATTAGGAGTTCTGAAAGCGACTCAAGGCCTTCAAGCATTTGTTGGGGAGATTTTGAATCGTCGAGAAGAAATGATGAGTATTGTTATTGATAATGTTTTTCAAAGTGTTCATTGGGAAGAGGACGAAAAGACTATAAAACAATTGGCGGTTTTGATGCGAGTTTGGTCAACGTCTGACTTTGGCTCGATGATTTTAATGAAAATTATGGACTTTTTGGGCGGACTTTTTACGGGAATTGCAGTCGGAAAGAGATTACCGTTACAGTGTGCCGGGGCGATCTTGTTGTCAGAAGTGTGCGAAACAAAATTTTTACCGGAGTTTTTTAAATTTCTGAGAGAGGCGTTTGAACTGGTAAAAGAAGCCAAGACGGGAGAGCTTGTCAAGTTTGATTCGGCTTTGAATCTGGAAGGTGAGGAACTGAAAGGATATGCAAAGAGAGTTGTGATTGAGATAGTGACACGAATTGTCAAAACGAAAAGAACTGAAAATACGATTCGCAATGCGATTTTCAAGATTGTGGATGAGATGCGGGAGATTGATGGGTGCGAAACGATCATCGCGGAGTGGGATAAAAGCGATGAGGATCTTGGATTTACATTCACAATTGTCCCACGCACCCCTGTACCGATGATTAGAATGTTCAACCCAAGAATCAACACGACGGACCTTCTCAAAGAGCGCAAAGAAGTCAAGAAAAAGCTCAAGAAGGAAACAAGAAAGGCACAGAAGAACGAGGAAATTATCACCGACCACGTGGTCAAACAAAAACAACATGAAGAAAACATCCAACGCGAAAAGCAGAAGAAGGCTTACGGTCTTATTATTAACGAGCTTCAGCAACAGGCGAACGAAGTTAAGGAGATGCAGTATCAATCGTTTGCCGGGCCTGATAAGTTTGGGAGAAAGAACAAAAAGAACTTCAGAAAGAAAATTAAGTATTGATTGGTTAGTTATGTTTGTTGGTTAGTTGAGACGCAGTTTGGGGAATGAGACATTTCGATTTGAACTTATGAACTATTCGTTGATGATTATTTGTCGAAATTATTGTAAGAAATGAAGTTTAAATACTTAGTTTTATATTATTACTATTATAATGATTTTTACGTACTATTTGATATTATAGATAATAATATAGTTTTAATTTTATAATTATTTAGTTCGAATTATTTAACCCATTTTGGGTTCAAATTTTCATGTATCATTTTTAATAATATATTTTGTTATATAATATAATACAATTTAATAGTACAACACATTTTGCTCGTTAAACAAAAACTCGTTATTATTTCAATTTGTGTAAATTTTGCAAATGGTTCAAATTTTTCATTTCGGGGTTTCTTTTGCCCGATATTGATGCAATACAACCCGTTTTTTCTATCTTCCCATTAAAACAACATCAAAAACTAAAATCACAAATATATATTTAATATACTATATATTATAAGATATTTTTGAAGTTTGAGTAACAAACGCATTTTTGGTATTAACGAACAATCGATTTTTTTGAATTATTGTTTTGATTTTGAGCTATTTGTATTTAAATTTTAAACTAAATTATTGTAAAAAAACGGGAATGCCTGACAAATCTGAATTTGCTGCGTAATTGTAATTGTCTTATAATTTATAATAAATAGTAATAATTATAATAAAAATTGATATTATTTATAAAAATAGTTTGGGTTGTATACACTTTGAGTAAAAACGGGAAATTTTATAACATTTTAAACCAACAAAAAACAAAAAAATCTCATCAAAGTACTCCCACAACCGCACAGAAAAAGTGGCTGATGGAACTTGCTGTTTATACAAAAAAATCAAAAATATATTGCCCATTTTACCTTTTCTTTCATCTGTTGTTTTTACTATAAATTAATAGTATTAAAACCTATAATTAACCAAACGAAACTGTTCTTTCTAAAAATACATTTCAAATTGCCGCCCGAAATCTGCTCAAAAAATGAATGAAGCTTCTATTGCAATAAAAATTCACTACTAGCCTGCTGTGTTTTTTTCGCCCTTATTTAAACTGAACTACAAAACTGATGAAATCAAATGACCACGTTCGTTCCGGCGTCGCCAAAATCATGCGAAGATTGTGATTTTGACAGAGTGATCCGAAAAGTAGACGAGCTTATTCATTCGTCAAAAGAAATTCTCTCAATTCTTGCCCCCAAAAAGATTGAAGAGGTTCTCAACGCAAAAACTTTTGAGGAACTCATTATCCTTGTCTATCCTCTCTTCTTTGATTTGTATAGAAATCCGTCTCTCTCAATTTTGTACAAGCAAAAACTCTATGACTTTTTTATAAGAATCACAAACCGCATCAAGTTTGTCTCTTTTTCATTGGCAGAACGAAATAACATTTTAAATAACAAAAAGTATGTTCTTCAGTTCTAATGAAGTTGGCGATGAAGCAAATTGCTGTGAGTTTCTCTTCAACTTACAGAAGATGGACACGTCACGTAAGATGAGTATCGATCACATGTTAGATCCGCTTTGTTTTAATACTCAAGCTGCTTTGATCAAGAAGGAGAAGTTGAAGAACTTAATGAGCTCTGCCAATTCATATCAAACTCAAGCCGTATATATGCTTCTTGCTGAAAGAATCAATGGGTGGAATTTCGAGGTTAATATCGACACTTTACCTCTCTCTGTTGTCAACGAAATGCTCGATATCTTCGACAACACTTCCTTTGTGTGTTAACTCTCTGTTTATTTTTGTTATTCAATTGTACTACTATCATATAGTATTTATTACTACTATTTATTTATATATATATAGTAGTTATTAGTAATATTATACTATTTGATATTCATTATAGTTTTCAATTCCAATTTGCTTTATTGAAATTTTTTTTGAATTCCAAATTGCGAAAGTTTTCAAGTCGGTTGTTGCAAAATGCTAGTTTAAAGGAACTAAAATAATAGAAAAAAAAACATTCAATGCACCCGTCACCTCCTCCGAAACCAACACCAAAAGCTCCAAATAAACAAACCCCTTCTATTCCTTTAAGAAGAGCACCGACACAACCTCTCCAACAACCTTATCAATCAAATCCA